CCCCCCCCCCCTTTCTAGTGGTGGTAGAGCTGGACGCCCCTCACGTTTACACTGTCTGTTTTGGTTCCACAGGAGCAGAAGAAAGCAGCTTCAGACAGAAAGGCACTGGTGGCCACTTTGACAAAAGGGCAAGAGGGAAGTGCTCAGAAAGCTGAAGAAACAGCTTCTCTCCCCTCAGAATTGAGTGAGTCAAAGAGGAAACTTCCTGTTGGTGCTTACGTTTCGTCTGTGCACGTTGATTATGAGTCTTTCGAAGTTGGCACCGGGCAGGTAAGTGTGCTCCTTGGCCCGGCAGTGGCATTGTCACTGGGGTGTGGACTGCACCAGGCGGCACTTTCAGGGGTGGCTCCAGAATGACTGCCTATAAAGTTTGTACAGTGTTTCAGCAGAAATGTACTATTTTTAATTGAACCTTCCCTGTAACTAGTAAAAACAAGAACATTTTTCATAAGCCCGGTTTATACGTATCACTGTACCCAGGAGATGAAACTCGATGCTTGTTTACTTTCTGAACCTTCTGATGTGCTCTGGTCAGAGCTGTCTGGCATCATTACCAGTTAACACTCTGATTCCAATCCAGGTTTCGTCTGCATTCACTATTGTAATTTAAAGGTGTCATTTTCATTTCACTGGTGGTTTTTGTCAGTATTATTTTGCCAGATCATTCAGTGATATGTGGTAGTTACAGTTTACAACTAACGTTAGTACAAAAAAACGTTACTAAAGATTCTGTCTGGTCTGGTATAGGAGGAGGCCAGGAGGAGGCCAGTGGCAGAAGGAGGGTGGGGAGTGGGGGTGGCTGGCAGCAACTGTAGCCATGCCCCTTTGACAAGTTGTGTGCAGTGTATGTAAGACTCGCCTGTCTGTATAATTGAGGTTGTTGTCCGTGAGGCTCTCTGTCTTTAAATGCTAATTTAACATTGGCACAGTGGTGTGGAGAAAGACTTACTTTCTCTTAAAAACTATGCTTTTATAATGTGCAAAATAAGGGACTAAACAGGCACTTGGCATATTATTTAGCTTTTGAAATGGTTAATTTCAGTGGCTCCACCACTCATCTTACGGCGTTCGTCTGTCATACAAACTACCGACAAAAGTGGTTATAGTTAGAAGATTATGTTCAGAGCTTGTATAAATCTCTGCATTTGCTGCATTCACTCAAATTATTTTGAGTACTCAGTTCTTCCCTTGAGGGTAAAAATTCCTCTAAAAACAGATCAAGTAGTTGAGAATAGCTGCATTTTATAATAGAGTTTGTTTATACTTTGAGCTCAATGACTTGGAAATGTTGAAATCTGTTTAGACATTACGTTCAGTATATTTATTGTTGTGTGTATATAATGATCTCTCACAGAATGAGTTCATAGTGGATTGAAGGCAGGAAATAGAACTGGCTGCATATGAACCACCGGGCTCTGTAGGGACAAATCATTTTTCTAATGGAAAGAAACTTGGATGACAGAGTGAATTTGGTGACAATAATGTTGTTAAGTGCAGTCGTGTCGGTTCTAACTCAGCAACCCTGTATAGGGTTTCCAGGGAGCAGCTGGTGAGTTTGAACCTCTGACCTCGTTGTTCAAACTGGCATTGCTTTATCCCACAGCGTCACACCAGGACTCTGGTGGTTAGAGGTACTGTATTTTTACACAAATGCCGCACGCACATTGTATGGTTTTTACAGACTGTACCCTCCTTGTGCATTAGTATTGTATGTGCACTCTGCAGAGTATATGAGGGGATTTCAGAAAGTTTGTGGACAAATTCTGTTATCTTTTAATTCCACTTTTTCACAAGCTGTTTGAAGCCCCCCATGTATAAGGATCTGTCATGTGAGCACACGATTGATGGAGAAGACAGAAGATGGAACTGGCTATATGTGAGCTCCAGGGGCTCTGTAGGGACACGTCATTGTTCTGATAGAAACTTGGTCTAAAAAGTGAGGGTGGTAGTTATACTAGCGGTACCAGAGTTTATACAAACAGCTCAGCATTGGTTTTCCATGCATATGATGAGTGCTGTATGTGGAAAACTACAGTCAGATTGGTGCTAATCACTTTGCATGGATTTGGTTATTTTTTCTTCAATCACATTATTAGTTTGGCTTTGTTAATGCTTCCCGATATATAGACTAGGAAATAGGCTGAGACAAGAGGTTAAGAAACTTGGGCCTGGTCACACTGTAAGTTAAGGATTAGAGTCAAGATTCAGAGCCAGGCAGGTTGGCTCTAGAACTTGCAGTTTTAACCATACTTACAACTATGTTGTTGTTAAGTGCCATTGAGTCATTTCCAACTCACAGCGACCCTATATAGGGTTTACGAAGAGTGGCTGGTGAGTTTGAACCACCGACCTTGTGGTTCAGACTGACCTTGCAGTCTAGCGCATTAACCCACAGCGCCACACCAGGACTCCTCACACTTACAAGTAATGTGAACATAATGCTTATTTTATATATGTTATTGGTCGGTGCTGTCGGGTTGGCTCCATCCGACTTGTAGCAACGCTGTGAACAACAGGAGGCAACAACGCCCAGTTCTGCTCCAGCCTTACATTTGTTAGGTTGAGCCCATTGTTACTGCCGCGCTGTCTGTACATTTTGTTGGGGGTCGTATGCATTTTTGATGACCCTCTACTGTACCAAGTATGGTGTTCCTCTCCACTTGAGAAGTGTAAGTTATGTCATGTCCTAATGGTGCAGTGCTCACATGCTCAGCTGCTAACCGAAAGGTCTTCAGCTCCCAACGAGGAAAGTACTGGCCATCTGCTCTGTCCTGCAGGGGCAGTGTGAGTTGGAACTGAATTCACAGCACACTACCATAACACTGACATTATGAAGGGACTTCAGAAAGTTCCTGGAGAAATGAAAGTAAAAGATAATGGAATTTTTCAAAGAAGGTTTTGAAGCCCCTGTGTAAATGATACCTATTTTCCATACAATGATGTAAATTGTAGCCATAGAACATAGTAATTTATGAATTACCTTGCTTTAGAGAGAAATTCTGTAGTCCTTTAAGCTAGAACCAGCTGTCCACAACAGTTACCTTGCTTTAGAGAGAAGTTCTGTAGTCCTTTAAGCTAGAACCAGCTAGCTGTCCACGACAATTACCTTGCTTTAGAGAGAAGTTCTGTAGTCCTTTAAGCTAGAACCAGTTGTCCACGACAGTGATTACAATGATCACCCTTGGGTGCTTAGGAAGCCTAGTTTCTGCTTTTAGTCACATGCAGTTCCAGGAAATGTGGAAGAATTTTGTATTGTGCCGTAGTGGAATGATCATCTATTACTGGTATTTGCTTTTTTCTAGGTTTCTGTGGTTTACAACTCATTAGACTTTGAACCAGAGATTTTCTTTGCCTTGGGATCTCCGATTGGTATGTTTCTCACTATTCGAGGAGTGGACAGGATAGACGAGAACTACAAGCTTCCTACCTGTAAAGGGTTCTTCAATATTTATCATCCAGTGAGTGAACTGAATTTCTTTCTCTATGAAGAAGACGGAGTGTCTGTGTGTTTTAGCTTAAATTAGTAGGTTCTCAGAGGATTCTTTCATAGGAATTGGTTCTGATCTGGCTTTAGGGCAGGACTCAGTTGTTTGCCATAAAGCTTCAGCTAACTACTTCCCAGGTAACGTTTTTAGCTGTCTTTATGCAAGGAAAGGATTGTATTGCTCTGTGTGTGTGGATTTTTTAAAATTTCTGTTTTTTTAAAATAGTTATTTTATTCACATGTCACTCATTTTTTTTATAAGGTGTGAATAAAGTGTGAAAGTCTCTGCTCCAACAGTTAGCCATTTTCTCTCCTGCTAAGATGTGACTCCAGGGACACAGTTATTCACAGATTCTCCCTCCTGCTAAGATGTGACTCCAGGGACACAGTTATTCACAGATTCTCCCTTCTTCCTTTTGCAGCTGGATCCAGTGGCGTATAGATTAGAACCTATGATTGCTCCCGATGTGGACCTAAAGCCAGTTCTCATTCCACATCACAAAGGCAGAAAAAGACTTCATTTAGGTAAAAGCAATAAAACAAACGCTTGTTTCCCTGGTATCGTTTTATATGATAGAATCAGTGAGTGATGACTACTTTCACAGCCAGTTCTGATAGCCCGAGTGATCGGAGTGCTTGTGAGTATATGCAGCGCTGTTGGACTCTTTCTTACTAAGGCTTGTGAGAAGCTAGAGAGGAAAGATGCGGATGAGTTTATTCTTGGTGGATTTGCATTCTAATTGCTGAGAGAATTAGGAATGGGGGAAGATGGTTATAAGTTGATAGGTGCCTAATTAGATTGTGATCCAGTTTGGTTATAATATTTGGAATTGGGAAGTAGAGAAACATTTGAACTCTTGACCCAAACCCATCAGGAGATAAACTTGATACCAAGTTTTTTTTTTTTTTTTTGCTACCATTGTGCTTTTTCAAATATTTAACTCTTGTGAAGTTAAGATGAAAAAATCGGTAACTAAAATACCTTTTTCAAATATGATTTATTAGATAAACATGAATGAACAAAGCTCGGGACAGGGCACCTTGAGTTTTAAGTTTGAAGTTTAAATGGTGGTTATGGTAGAATCTCAAATTCTTAAAACCTCTCTTCTGTTAAAGATTAGAAATGCTGATTCAAATTGTCCTTGTAGACCCATTGTCTTAACTTACATTAGGAAAAGTCCGTGAAGGTGCTTAAGTACATTTTTATTGTATTTGTACTCCTTAACTTTGAGTGAAACTTACAAATTTTTTTTTTTTTAATGTAGAAAAATGACAAAATAAGATTCCCGGAACACAGTTGTTGACATGTTGCATGTTCTTGGGTGGGAAACTCCATATACTTGGAATTTAAGAGCAGGTGCAAGGCATTTCTACCTGCTTTACAGTGCTGCTGTGGGAACAGAAGTTTGGCCAGTGATTGATCACTTTGTTTGCTGTCTTAATCTCTGTAGAGTTGAAAGAAAGTCTCTCTCGAATGGGATCTGATTTGAAGCAGGGTTTCATTAGCTCTCTGAAAAGTGCTTGGCAGACGTTAAATGAGTTTGCCCGTGCTCATACTTCTTCCACTCAATTGCAAGAAGAACTGGAGAAGGTCGCCAATCAGATCAAAGCAGAGGAAGAGAAGCAAGTAGATGAAGGTAAATTTGACATTTGCAGCATTTTCCCAGAACAAATGAATTTACACACATACCGCTTGGAAATTATTTAGCGATACTTTCCCCGTGTGAGTCATTTTTTGTTAAAACGTTCAGGGCTCTTTCTGTAAAGAAAAGTGTTAGGATAAACTACACCGTCAAAGGCTTCCACCTTCAAAACACTAGTCACTCTTGTCCCTGACTTCTCACCTCATGAGTTGCTGAGCTTTCTCCTCTGCGGGTTTTCTTTACTTTTGTTGAGAACTAGGTTTGCACTCAGATGTCTTAAAGAAATCGCTCTGAGAAGTGAGTTTCCCAATGGTGGTGTTTTAACTGTGCTGTTGTAGACTTGACGTTCAGAGTCAGGTCACTGTACTAAGTACGGAGAGTTTTGATTCTCAGATGCTGATGCGATTTCCTTTCTTTTCTACAATGCTGTCTCACTCTTTCTCTTCTTCGCTTCTGTAAGCTTGCTGGAGCTCTGGAGGACTGGGGACTGAGTGGTGGGTCCCCAAGCCCCACTACGTGTGTCAAGCTGTAGTCTTACTGAGCCCAGAAAGTCAGCTAAAGTCAGAGGATAGCCATTAAGTGATTGACTTTGACCTTGAAATGGTTTAAATTCTAGCGGAAAAGATTATTGAAGGTCCAGATTTTTCCAAGGATGAGGACTACTTAGGAAAGGTTGGACTGCTAAACGGAGGCCGCCGGATCGACTATGTTCTTCAAGAGAAGCCGATAGAGAGTTTTAATGAGTATCTTTTTGCTCTTCAGAGTCACTTATGCTACTGGTAAGCATTTTCAACTTGGGTTTAAAGGACAGTCGTTACCTCTTAGTTTCTTTAGTTTTGTGAACCTGTCATTTTTGAGAACCTGTCATTTCGATCACATCAGTGGGGACTTTGGGTACTGCAAATGTAGCAATCATAGTAAGATTCTTTTATTGATTTTCGTTTGGTGGTGGTGGTGGTGTGCCGTGGAGTTGTTTCTGACCCTGTACAGGGTTTCTGCGGCTGTAAACCTTTATGGGAGCAGAAAGCCTTATCTTTCTCCCGCAGAGCGGCTTGTAGTTTTGAACTGCTGACCTTGTGGTTTGCAGTCCGATTCGTAACCAATGTGCTACCAGAGCTCCTGTGGAGTGTTAATTTAAATTCCTATGTATTCAAAATGAGTCTTCCTCTTTTACTCTCCACAAGGTGGCGGTATGTCATCTGCCTTTGACCAAAGGCTTTTGGTTCTTTTTGCAGCAGCGCATTTTCTGTGTGGCTACCTTTCACAGAATTTGAGTGGTAGGGATTTTGGAAAAACCCTCCTTTCATCTATTACCCTGTCACGAAACAGAATTACAACAGGGCTGTTTTGGAGCTGATTGATTGCTACCTGGCCAGCTCTTAGGAATAGCTTTGAGACTACACTCTTCTTATCTGCCTGCTTCAGTAGAGTTGAATAGAACTGTAGCTGCAATTTCTGCCTGTGTGCTTAGAGTTTAATTTCTGCTAATTGTCTCAAGTAAATGTGATTTTCTTTTTCATAGGGAATCTGAAGATACTGCCTTGTTACTACTTAAAGAAATTTATCGAACAATGAGCATTAGTCCAGAACAACCCCAGCAATGATTGGACTTTGGTTTCACTGTGTGAGTTGATTTTTATCTTGTAAATTCTTAATGTTGATATCCTTAAGACTTTTTTTTGTTTTGGAGTTGATGTGGGCTATAATTTTCTGTTTACTTGGAGAACATGTTTTTCCCTCTAAATTCAGTATAGAGGTACTAAGGTCAAGAATTGGTTTACCATATACATTTCTGTGACTTACTACATTCTTCTAATTTTGTATAGAATTTGAGTTATTTTTAGCTTGTCTTTAGGATTAATTCCCAGGAGTATTACTCAGGAGTTCCTTGGGTAGCAGAACTCAGCTCACAGTACCTTCTGCCAGGAGGTTTTAGTTCCTTACGGAGTTTTCTCTGTTGGAGTGATGCCCGGACACCTAGAGCACTCCTGTCTGTCTTCTCACATACATGCTGGCTCTAGCTGTCTTGTCGTTACACGATGACTCCCATAGTTCTAAGTGTCCTGCCTACACTTGAGGCATGATAGTGGGGTGAGGTGAGAAGTTGGTATCAGTCATATCTGTCCCTTTTCATCAGGAAAGCAAAAGCATATCCAAGAATCTGTTCCTGCCACATTGACAAGGCCTGTGTCACATGTCCCACGACTCCCTCCCTGCACAAAGCCTGGCCAGTCCTGCGCCATCCTCACAGGTGTTCTGTTTGAGCCCAATGTTGCAGCCACCGTGTCAATCCTTGTTGGGAGTCTTTTTATT